CCTGCTGACGTCTGTCCCTCTTCCACCCAGCACCGATTTTCAGACCGTGCAGAGGCAGAGCTACCGAGGCTGGGACCCCCGCAGGTACCCTCGGGCCAGCCCCAGCAAGCCGAGAGAGGAGCTGGCAGGCCTGCGGAAAGAGGGGGATGGAAAATTCAGCGGCGACACGGTGACCAAGGTAATGGGCAGGCCAGGAGGCCGGAGTTAAGGGAGAGCAAGGGCCTCTATAAGCAAAGTCAATTTCACTGATTGAAGCAGGCAGACTCTCACTGGCACAGAGGGAATAGATCCGGGGGTCAGTGCACGAGGCCTGCGTCAGGGTGCCTGCTGTAATTCCCAGCCCTGCCACGGACTTGTTTTGTGACCTGGGGAGAGTTTCTTCCCCTTGTCTGGAGAAGGGGAGCAGCAACATTCCTTTGCCACAGCCGCTGCCAGGCTTTGGAAATCTCCATAATGGGCCGGTGTTTGTAAAGGGGGTTGGCCATGCAGCGCCAGCAGACGAGCCAGGCCAGAAGCGCAGGAGATGTAGAGATTGCATTTATTCAATAGCAGGGACACTGAGCCAGCATGCAGGGGGAGGTGGGGCCAATATCTGGGCACCGTTGGCTCTTGTGCTGGGGTACAGCATGGACAGAGAATCCCCTCTTGCAGCAATCCTGCTGGCAGAAAAAAAGGGAGGTTGAAGCTGGAGGGAAGGGAACCCCGCCTGAACCCCTCAGCCGTGGGAATCCTGTCCTGTCCCTGCATGGCAGAAATGGGCTGGCTCCCTCTTCTCCCGGGCTATGTCTACACTCGAGGCTTCTTGCGCAAGTAATATGCAAATGAAGCTCAGCATGGAATATTGCTGAGCCTCATTTGCATACCTAATGAGCCACCATTTTTTTCAGAAGAGGCTCTAGCGCAAGGAGGAGCATCTACACTGCCCCTTCTTGTGCAAGAAACACCCTCTTGTGCAATGTCGTTACACCTATTACTTGAGAGGAGCCTCTTCTGAAAAAATGGTGGCTCATTAGGTATGCAAATGAGGCTCGGCAATATTCCATGCTTAGCCTCATTTGCATATTACTCGCGCAAGAAGCCGCGAGTGTAGACACAGCCCCAGGGTCCCAGTGACGCCCTCAAACACCACAGGCGTAAATCTTACACGGGCCATTCGGCCCCCCACTCAGCAAGTGGCATTTCCTGCCGCCTCGTTCTCTGAGCGCCAGAACAGACGTGTCCGAAAGAGAACGCTGCCGTGTCCTCGCTGGGCGCCCCGAGGCGCAACGCTTCTGAAAATCTCCTCCGGGCCATCTGCAGGTGCGAAGTGCTGTCGAGAGTCGGTGGTGTTATTCTGACCCCCTCGCGTCTCTTTCCAGCTCTCTTTCCCGCCTCTGCCCTTGCCCCAGCCTCTGGAGACCACCCAGCGCCCCCGCACAGTGCTGAGATCCCTCCCTGCAAAGTTTGACGATTCCACGGCCCACAAGTTCTTCTTCAGGGACTGGGGAGTCCAGCCCCGAATCCGAAGTGCTGTCGAGAGTCGGTGGTGTTATTCTGACCCCCTCGCGTCTCTTTCCAGCTCTCTTTCCCGCCTCTGCCCTTGCCCCAGCCTCTGGAGACCACCCAGCGCCCCCGCACAGTGCTGAGATCCCTCCCTGCAAAGTTTGACGATTCCACGGCCCACAAGTTCTTCTTCAGGGACTGGGGAGTCCAGCCCCGAATCCGGCAAGGCGACCTCCACGATGGAGTCTACAGCCGGCCGCTGGTAATACGATGGGAGCAGACACCCCCCCCCCCCCCCCCCACGCCC